CCCGCAAGTCTGACCAGCACGGTCACCCGTGCGAATGACATACGGACAGCTATCACTACCCCCAGACGTCCCACGCTGAAACAACCACTCACGAAGCTGCTAGAGCGACTGGGTCTCGCTCCGACGCTGCTACTGCTGCCGCCGCTGGCCACCTCCGGAACCTCCACGCCGAGCTCCAGTCCTACCACCACCAGTCCCCCGCCGCCACTGCCGCCACTAACACCACTGCCTCCACCGTCGCCGCCAGAGCCCCCACCCCCGCCACCAGTCCCACCACCGCCACCACCTCCACCGCCTCCACTACCTCCAACGCTGCCCCCACCACCACTCCCGCTGCCCCCTCCACCACCCCTGCCACCCTTGCCCTTGTTGCTGCGGCGCTTTGCACTAGCAGAAGCACCTCCAACGTCCTCAGCACCAGGGACGTATGCAGCAGCAGCAGAGGCGTAGGAGGGGGCAAGGGGGGAGGGGGGCACCCCTCAAAGAAGGGCGTGCGCGGAGTGCCACGAGCAGCACCTACAGCAACTGCAATAGTCTCAGCTGCAAGGAGGTGCTTTTCGAGTAGGTCAACAATGAGGGAGGTGGGGTCAAGTGAGAGAAAGTGGTCCCTGACAGAGCGAAGAGAGTCAGGGAAGCGAGTGACTATGAAGTAGAGGGTGATGAACATCGGGGGCGGGTTCCTGTCAAGGAACTCAGCAGGGACGGTAGCGCGGTAGCGAGCGTCACTAGCGCGCAGATGGGAAACAAGGTCATCTACCGTGGCAAAGGCTGACAGCTCGGGGAATAGGTAGGGCAGAAGCAGGCGGCCTAGAGCAGTTGTGGCAGGCGAGGAGTAGCGAGCGACTACAGCGTCATACAGTGCCTGTGATGTCCTGTGCTGTCCGAAGTGAGCGCATTCGGCTAAGGGCAGGTGGTTGCGAATGGCTAAGCGGGCAGCAGCGTCGCGAGTAAGCCACTGTGAGCGTATTGCACTGTCAGCTGTGGCAGGAGGGGCAGTAGCGGCGCCTGACGCTAGGTCAAACAGCGAAACACTGTCCTTAGAATCGCTCAGTACGTACAGCTGCAGATCATCGAGCCACGTGTCAAACGGAATCGGTCTGCCCTCATGATCGAATGCGAGAACTCGAAGCGAAGCCATAGTGGCGCAGCACACAGGAGCAGCAGTAGCAGCAGCAGTAGCAGCAGCTGGGGCCGAGGGGCCGGGGGGTCAAGAGCAACGAAGGGCCTAGGGGCGACGGGCCGCGGGGCCGAGAACGAAGGGGCCAAGGGGCCGAGGGGCCGAGGGGCCGAGGGGCCGAGGGGCCAAGGGGCCGAGGTGCCGGGGGCCTAGGGCGACTGGGCCGAGGGGCCAGGGGCGAAGGGGTGAAGGGGCCGGGGGCCTAGGTGCGTCGGGCCGTGGGGCCAGGAACGAAGGGGCCGGGGGCCGAGGGGCCGGGGGCCTAGGGCGACGGGGCCGAGGGGCCAGGGGCGAAGGGGCCGAGGGTCCGGGGGCCTAGGTGCGTCGGGCCGCGGGGCCAGGTACGAAGGGGCCGGGGGCCGAGGGGCCGGGGGCCTAGGGCGACGAGAGGAGCCGTGGGGCGACGGGGGGGGGGGGGGGGGGGGGGCGCGGGGGGACGCGGTCATGGACGACGGGGGGGCGCGGGGCCTAGGCTAGGGGCGACGGGGCGACGGGCCACGGGGCCTGGGCCTAGGCTAGGGGCGACGGGTCGCGAGGGGCCGTGGGGCCGAGGGGCCTAGGCTAGGGGCGACGGGCGACGGGCCGCGGGGCCTGGGCCTAGGCTAGGGGCGACGGGTCGCGAGGGGCCGTGGGGCCGGGGCTTAGGCTAGGGGCGACGGGTTGCAACGGGCAACGGGCCTAGGGCGACGGGTCGGGGGTCGACGGGCCGGGGCGACAGGCGACGGGCGACGGGGGGCCGGGCTAGGGGCGACGGGCGACGCCAAGGGGCGACGAGCCTAGGGGCGACTGGCCAGGGCGACAGGCCTAGGGGCGATGGGCCGGGCTAGGGGTGGCGACGGGCCGGGGCCTAGGGGCCTACGGGTCGCGACAGGAAGTAGGGACAGCACGAAGGCTGCAGAGGGCTGCTAGCGGGGTAGCGCTGTGGTGGGCCCAAGGAGAAAAAAACGGTCCTAGCGGAGGACCTGCTCTGAAACCATGTCAGAACAACGAACAAGAATGAATGAACTAGCAAACAGTTGGGTACAAGTACTAACCCTAATTGGGTTGGACCCCTTATGGGCTACCCCACTACAGCCTACACAATGTAAGCTATATATAAGTTTGACACTAGATCGCACCTCGTTAGCACGCGCCTCCTAGGTCTACACCCCGCTCCCCGTACGCCCCCTCGCCCGCCTCCCGTCACCCTTGATAGCAGGCCCCGCGGCCTTTGTTAGCAGGTCATGTGGCCCTTGTTAGAAGGCCTCGCGGCCCACATTTTCCCCCGCGTAGCCCGTCGCCCATCGCGAGCTCCTATCCTAGGCCCCACGGCCTTCATTAGTGGCCTCGTGGCCCCACACTAGACGGCCCCGCGACCGCGATTCTCCCTTTTCCTCCCCCCCCCCCCCCCTCCCTCCCCCCCCTCCCCCCCTCCGGTCGTACGCACCCCGCACCCCGGTCGCATTACGCATTACGCACCCCGCACCCCATATGCACCCCGCACCCCATACGCACCCCGCACCCCATACGCACCCTGCACGCCGGTTGCACTATGCACCAGCACCCCAGAAGCATTCCGCACCCCGTACCCCGCATCCCGTACCCCGTTCGCATTACGCACCCCGCTTCATGAATGCCAATGCAAACACCAGTGACGGCCCATTTTTCTGCTGGCGGCCCATTTTTCTGCTGCAGCAACTCCGCGAGTTGAAGGCGTTGAACTCGCTCCTGTGCGTGGTCCACGGGCGTTTCGAGAGTGCGTCGGGTACGTGCGTCGCGCACGTGATTTCCACGCGCTTCGGGACAGCGCCCGTGGCGCTTGTCGCTCGCCTTGTCGCGCGGACCCCGCTGTCTCGTCGCCCCACCGCTGTAGCCCTCGCTGGATGCCCCCCCCCCCCCCCCCCCCCGCGTCGCCCTGTGCTGTTTCGTCGCCCCGCGGCCTCGCCTGCACCGTCGCCAGCCCCGCGCACACTCGTCACGCCGCCCTTGCGCCTGCCCGTCGAGTGAGCCACCATCTGCCTGATGCGCTGCACCCGCGACCCCCGGGCCAGCCCACTGCTTCCCCCCCACGCCCCACCCGTCGCGCCCCAGCATGTTACCCCACCAGCCCTCCCGTCGGCCCCGCTGTTTCTGCCACGTTTGCTCCTGCTGTGTGGGGGGAGGGGGGTGAGTTGGGGGTGGTGGCCATGAGTGGCGGTGACGGGGGTGGATGCCGTCGCAGCTCTTGTCACTTCTGCTGCTCGTGCAACTGTGGAGAGGGTGGAGGTGGCGGGAGTGTACCCGAAGGAGCCACCTGCCGCCCTCCTCTCTACTCTCTCTCCCTCCAGGGCCTGTCGTTGTGGGGGAAAAGGGGGGGTGTGAGGGGGTGGCGAGAGAGATTCGGTTGAGCCAGCAGCCGCCCTTCCTCCTCTCTCTCTCACAGCTGCATGTGCCACTGTGGGGGGGAGGGTGAGGCGGTGGCGGAAGCCAGCCAGGCATCTGCAGCTGCCGCCCGCTGCTACCGTGGTACCTCCTACCGCCGCCCCTGCCTCCACCTGCTGTTTTCTTTTGTTTTCTGTCTGCTGCTGTTGGTTGGCAGGTGCTGCCGTTGAGCCCTGCTGTGCCGCCGCCCTTGCCGCCGCACACTCCTGCTCTCCAGGCGGTCTGCCACCACATGCACCTGGTTCTGCTGTGCCGCCGCCCTTGCCGCCGCACACTCCTGCTTCTACTGCTTCAACCTTGGCGGAGGGGTTGGTGAAGTTGAATCTGTTACCACTGCACCGGTTGTCACTGCTCTTGCCTGCTATTGCTGTTTTCTCTGCACTTGGTGTACCCCTGCAGGAGGAGTACTGTACATGGTTCTAGCTGTAGGCATTTAGGGGGTGTGTTGAAATGTATTTGTTTACATTTATAACTGCCTGCAGTAGAACCTAGTGTAGTTATGAGATCTTGCAGGTGGTGTACAATTGTTTCCTCTTTTGCCTATATCTTGTACCCTTGTTCATTATTGAACTCCTCTTTGACAAACCTCTCTCGACATGTTCCTCTCGACCCTCCTTGCCTCTCACCTCTCTCGTAACCTAGCTATGGCTCCTAAGTTTAGCTAGTTATGACATTTGACATGGTATCAAGAGCTGTTACGACCTCTTTGGGCCCACCACCTGCTGCCCTACGCACCACCCTTGTGTGGCCCTTCTCTCGACATTAGGCCCCGGCCCGTCGCTCGTGCCCGACGCCCCTAGGCCCCGGTCCCATCGCCCCTAGGCCCGTCGCCCCTCGGCCCCGTCGCCCCTAGGCCCCGGTCCTGGCCCGTCGCCCGTTGCGCGTCGCCCCTAGGCTCCGCCCCCCGGCCCCTCGCTCGCGCCCGCCGCCCCTAGGCCCGTCGTCACCGTCGCCCCTGGGCCCCGGCCCCGTCGCCCCTAGGCCCGTCGCCCCTCGGCCCCATCACCCCTAGGCCCGTCGCTCCTCGGCCCTGTCGCCTGTCGCTCGCGCCCGACACCCCTAGGCCCCGGTCCCGGCCCGTCGCCCGTCGAGCGTCGCCCCTAGGCTCCGGCCCCCGGCCCGTCGCTCGCGCCCGCTGCCCCTAGGCTCGTCGGCCCCGCCACCCAACGCCCCTAGGCCCGTCGGCCCCGTCGCCCGTCGCTCCCCTAGGCCCGGCCCCGTCGCTCGACGCCCCTAGGCCGGCCCGTCGCCCCTAGCACGGCCCGTAGGCTCGTCGCTCCTAGCCCGACGACCGACGACCCTACGCCCGCGACTGACGCCTCTCCGCCCCCCGCCTTCTCCTCCATCCCCCTGCTGCAGGGGGAGGGGGGGGGGGGGGGGGTATGGGGGTGGTGGGCTCTTGGAGGGTAAGGGGGTGGCCGGTATGGATCTGCAGCACCAGCCCCGCCGCCCCCCCCCCCCCCCATTCTCCTCCTTCCCCCTGCTGTGGGTGCAGCAGTGGGGGGGAGGGGATCTGCAGCACCAGCCCCCTCCGCCCCCCCCCCCCCCCCTTTCTCCTCCATCCCCCTACTGCGGGTGCAGCAGTGGGGGGGGGTATGGGGGTGGTGGGATCTTGGAGGTTCAAAGGGTGGCAGAAAGGGATCTGCAGCACCAGCCCCCCCCAGCCCCCCCCCCCCTTTTTTTCTCCTCCATTCCCCTGCTGCGGGTGCAGCAGTGGGGGGAGGGGATCTGCAGCACCAGCCCCCCCCTGCCCCCCCCCTTCTCCTCCATCCCCCTGCTGCGGATGCAGCAGTGGGGGAGGGGATCTGCAGCACCAGTCCCCCCCGCCCCCCCCCCCCTCTTCTCCTCCATCCCTGGGGGGTGGCGGATAGTGGAGCAGCAGTGGGGGGGGAGGGGATCTGCAGCACCAGCCCCCCCCCCCCCCTTTCTCCTCTCTCCCTCTGCTGCGGGTGCAGCAGTAGGGGGAGGGGATCTGCAGCACCAGCCCCCCCCCCGCCCCCCCCCCCCCCCCCTCTTCTCCTCCATTCCCCTGCTGCGAGTGTGGCAGTGGGGGGGAGGGGATCTGCAGCACCAGCCCCCCTCTCCCGCCCAGCGCGCTGCCTGCACGTTGCGCAAGCGGCTTGCATTGCCCGCACGCTGCCCTGCGCCGCCGGCAAGCGCCCTGTCTGCGCTGCTGCGCTGCCGTCTGCTCCTTACCAGCACCGCTCGTGCGCTACTCCTGCTGCGTGCACCTGCTGCTGCCACTACAGCCCTTGCAGCTGCCGCTAAAGTCCTTGCTGCGGCCGCTACAGCCCTTGCTGTTGCCGCTACAGCCCCTGCTGCTGCCGCTACAGCCCTTGCTGCTGCCACTACAGTCCTTGCTGCGGCCGCTACAGCCCTTGCTGTTGCCGCTACAGCCCTTGCTGCTGCCGCTACAGCCCTTGCTGCTGCCGCTACAGCCCTTGCTGCTGCCGCTACAGCCCTTGCTGTTGCCGCTACAGCCCTTGCTGCTGCCACTACAGCCCTTGCTGCGGCCGCTACAGCCCTTGCTGCTGCCGCTACAGCCCTTGCTGCTGCCGCTACAGCCCTTGCTGTTGCCGCTACAGCCCCTGCTGCTGCCGCTACAGCCCTTGCTGCTGCCGCTACAGTCCTTGCTGTGGCCACTACGGCCCTTCCTGTTGTCGCTACAGCCCTTGCTGCTGCCGCTACAACCCTTGCTGCTGCCACTACAGCCCCTGCTGCTGCCGCTACAGCCCTTTCTGCTGCCGCTACAGCCCTTGCTGCGGCCGCTACAGCCCTTGCTGTTGCCACTTCAGCCCTTGCTGCTGCAGCTACAGCCCTTGCTGTTGCCGCTACAGCCCTTCCTGCTGCCCTGCGCGCCAGGCGCGCCCAGCTGTCCTGCACGCCCCGCGCACCCTGCTGCCCTGCTGCCCTGTGCGCCCTGCGCGCCCTGCAGCCCTGCGCGCCACGCGCGCCCTGCTGTCTTGTGCGCCCCGTGCGCCCTGCTGCCCTCTGCACGCGCATCTGCAGCCCCATGCACAGCCCCTTCTCCTCCCTCTCCTTGCTGCACGTGCAGCAGTTGGGGTGGGGAGGGGAGGAGCAGCCCCCCCCTCCTCTCTCTCCTCACTGCTGCTGTTGCTGTTGTGCGGGGGGAGGTTGAGGGGGTGCAGTGAGTCCAGCTGCAGCATCAGCCGCCTCCTCCTCATTTGCCCTCTCCTTCCGCTGCGTAGGGTGTACCCCTTCAAGGGGTATTCTGCACATGGCTATTCCTGCATGCAGTTAGGGGGTGTGTCAGAATATATTATATATATATTTCTGTATAACTGCATATAGTTATAGCTGTAGTGTAGTTACTGTTTTAGTCCCTGTAGGTGGTGCACCCTTTGCCATCTCTCACTCCTATATCTTGTACTTTCTTCTCTTAGTGAAACATCATTTTTCCTTCTCAACTTTTCTCTCGACACTTGCCTAGCTTTCACCCTAGCTATGGCTACTATGATTCTAACACACACAACACACAGCACACCGGTCACTGCGCCATCCATGCAAGAGGGCATGGCACCTAGTGTTGCACGTCGTCGTCACCATCGCCGACGTCGACCAGTCGTACTTGGTCGATTGCGACGGAGCACCGGTTGAAGGCCGGATAGTGCAGCGCCATTATCAGGAAGTCGACCGGCTGCTCGGTGGTCAAGATGTACTTCAACATGAACTTCCCGCGCTTCACCATGTGCTGCAGCCAGGCATATCGCCGCTCCATGTGCTTGAGGTTACCCTGCAGCCCCAAGCCCTCCGCGACCGTGATGGCCGACTTGTTGTCCACCCGAAGGGCAGTTGACGTCCTAGCGTCTAGCAGCCAGAACTCTGTAAGGAGGAAGCGAAGTCGGCGTCCCTCCTTGCCGCCCTCAGTGGCCACCACGTACTCCGACTCGGTCGACGACAGATTCACGCGCTTGATGCGCTGGCTCAACCAGGAGATGACGGCCCCTCCGAAGACGAACACGTAGCCACTCGTGCTCATCCGGTTCTGTTTGCCGTCGACGTCCACGTAGTCGACCAACTTCAGTGACTTTGGTCTACCGCCAAACTCCAGGGCGGTGTCTCGGGTGTCGGCGAGGTAGGCGAGGTAGCGGTCGACCTCACGCCAGTGCTGATCGCTCCTCACCGTGAGTCCGTTCCCCAGCTTGCTGCAGGCAAAGGCGATGTCCGGCCTTGTCGTCGTCGCCGCGAACTGCAGCGAGCCGACCTTCTGCCGGTACTCCTCCTCCTGGCGCTCCTGGGCCTCCTCCTCGTTGAACGTCAGCTCGGCGTAGGCGTCGACAGAGACTGGCATCTTCGGGGTGCGCCCGGTCTCCTCCTCGTCGATGAACCGCCTGTGCAGCTTGTCGGCGTAGAACTGGTGGTGCAGCCACAGCTTCCTCGCTGGACTATGGCGCACAATCTCCAGCCCGAGGTACTTCTCCACTGGCGAGATCTCTCGCAACTCGAAGGCGGCCTCTAGCAGCTCCTTCAGCTCCTTTAGCATCACGGTGCTGCTTCTGGCAGCGCGCAGGTCGACCAGCACCCAACAAGCCACTCCGTCATCGCCGACCTTGAAGTACAACGCCTCATCGACCTAGCTCTTCTTCCAGCCGGGGCCGACCAGCATGTCGTTGAGCGCCTTGTACCACAACAGTGGCGACTGCTTCAGCCCGTACAGGCTCTTCAGCAGCTTGCACACCTGTCCGGTCCCGTCGTTGTAGTAGTCCGGCTGGTACATGTACAGCACCCTGTCGAGCTTGCTCTGCAGGAAGGCGTTCTCCATGTTGAGCTGCATCAGGTTGAGGTCGAGGACAGCGACGATGCTGAGGAAGATCCTTAGCATGACGTAGCTACTTGCCAGCGCATACGTCTCATTGTAGTCGGCGCCATACACCTGCGTGAAGCCCTTCACGACCAGCCTTGCCTTCTCACGGGCGACCATGTCGTCGACGTGGTACTTGGTCATCAGGACCCACCGGCTCATCATGATGTTTACCCCACGTGGGCGTTCGACCATCTCCCAGGTGCCCAAGCCGATGAGGCTGCGGATCGCCTCGTCCATGGCAGCCTTCACTGCCCTGCCCTTCCAGCTCGCTAACGCCTCCTTCGCCGTCATCGTTGCGATGTCCCAGCGGTGCTTAGGGTTGGCGTGCATGTCGGGCTCTGGCAGGTCGGCGTCGTCGTAGAGCATATCATCATCGGCGTCGTCATACAGCGTGGTGAAGGCTGCTGGTGGGAGGCTGACGTGGTAGGTCAGCCACTCAGGCGGCCCCTGGATTTGGCCTAAACGTCGTGGTCCAGGCTGGTCGACCTTGACCTCCACCACGTCGCTGTCGGTGGGCTCCTTGGCGCCTGACTGCTCCCCTTCCTTGTCGCCGGCTTCAATGCCTTTACCGGCCTGCTGCACCAAAGTCGGCGTCCCTGCCAACTTCTCCCCTATCATCAGCTCCTCGGCCGACTGCCCGGACGCCGACAGCTCCTTGGTCGGCGTCCCTGCTGGCTGCTCCCTTATCGGCGGCTTCTCTGCCGCAACCTTCTTCACCGAATTCAGCAAGTTCGGTTGCTTCCCTTGCAACCGCTGCTCCCTTGTCGTCGGCGGCACCACTTCCACGCCGACTGGCTTGACATTGCGTCGGCCACTGGCGATGCTCTTGGCCGGCGCCAAAGGCGACGCCCCACTGTTCCCCTCATCGCCGGAGGCCGACTCCGGTGTTAGCACAGGAAGGTTGGCTACGAGGGGTGGGGCAGGGAGAGCAGAGGAGGGGGGAGGTAGGAGAACATCCTCGGTGCCCTCATCAGCAGGCTCACCGATCTCGGCGAGTTGAGGAAGGGTTGCCGTCGAGGTGTCCGTCGGGGGGTTGGCATGTGTCCACCCCGACGCCGGCCCGTGCTCCGACTTCCACACCTCCATGGACATCGTTTCATAGAACACCACGTCCGACGTGGTGACAACCCTCTTATCGGTGAGGTTGAGGAGCTCCCAGCCCTTGCTCTCCTTCGACACACCGATGTGAAGACCCCACCTGGCCTTCGACTTTAGCTTGCCACCGCGTTGCTGCTCGGGGACCAGGAACTACGCCATGCAGCCCCACACACAGGCCAGCGTCAGGTCGGGCTTCTTGCCGGTCAGCAGCTGTTGCGGCGTTGTCCCTGACGGCAGGGTCGACCTCTCCAGGCAGTTGCAAACCCAGACGGCCTGCCGCAGATCGAGGTGCCACCAGTGGTGATGCACGCCCATGTGCAGCAGCATCGTACCCACCGACTCCACCACCGTCTGCATCTCCCGCTGTGAGAGTACGACGGCTTATTCTGGCTTTTCTAGCTTGCCTGGACTTTATTATGCTATTATTAGCTTAGGTTTTATTTATCATGCATAGATATGCTTGATTTCCTAGGTTAAGCACATTCCTATATGAGTTATAGCACCGAACCAGGTTACGTGTACCGAACTCAAGCCTTTTCGGTTCCCACCGAATAGCTTTCTACCGAGTTCGGGAAGGTTCTGTTCGGGACGTTTCGCGACCCTCAGAAGATCCGCGTAACACCTAGGTTATCTGCCTTATGTTAAGCCTATAAATAGGCTCGCTCTGTACCCAGGTGGATCATTCAATAGATTTCTCTTTCCTGAACCAGATCCTCACACTTGGTACTCAGAACGGGTTTACATGCGAGGATTTCAACCGCTTAAAACCGGCCTTGAAAAACCGCGGGGGTGACGACGGAAGCACCGTTACGGGTATGCAAAACCAGTTCCGCGCATTTTTTTGAAGTCCTCCTCAATCCAGTTTTCGAGCACCCCTCAGGATTATTGGCAGAAAAAATGGAATTTCGACCGTCAGATCGATTCGAATCTCAACGGCCCAGAGAATTTCGCCCAAAAATGTTGGAATTTGGAGCGTCAGATTTCGTTTCACCTCAACGGCCCAGATTGGACACGAATTTAGACTAAGGGAGAATTCCGCGACTTACAGAATTTGCGCTCGTTGATTCTACAGTCCATTCGACTCGCAGTAAGACAACCAGCACCTAAAACTCATTTATTTTCGTCGCGCATCTTCCTGTAAATCGCCAAATCGAGGGAAATAGTGAAAATTTAGTACAGAAAATCGCAGGGTTAAGTGCCGAGCATGAGCAGATACATGCAGCGCTCCCAAGACTCGAAGATCTCCTTGCGAACCAATCGGTAGCCGCAGCAACAACGACGACGGCGACACCAATAATTATATCTCAGACAACGGCAGCAGCTACGGATAACCTCGAAGCAGTGAAGTCGAGACAACCAGATGTGTTCTATCCTATAGTGAAAGGGAGCGACGTTTGTTGATTCGTAGCTGAATTCGAATTTTATTTTGAAGCCGTTGGATGCACGACCCTGACCCAAGACGCAATGCGCATGCTCGCAGCAACACTGTTACGAGGCCAGGCTCTAGAGTGGATTAGCGACAGAATCGTCCAAGGCAAAGGGACGTGGGTGCAGTTTCGGGCAGCACTGATCGAACAGTTCGACGCGTTGAAAAGTAGCTAATACGGAACACGACGCTGTCAGAATAGTGAAGGAAGGAATGACTGAACTAGCAAGCAGGTGGGTACAAGTGTGTAACCTAAAAGTGTTGTATGTTATAGTCACAATAGGCTTGAATGTGCCTAAAACGAAAGATAGAGAGCACAGACGGATTTCTGCACAGCGGCTTCAAACGTTGATAGCGTTCTGCTCACAGCTGCAAATTACTTGATTCAAATTGGATCTGGAGCGTCTTCACGTCGTCTACAATTAGCAATTTAGATTGCACGATTTCATAAAGAATTGACGACACAGCGTCAGTTTGAACGAACGGTACTATGGCAGCCACTATAGTCTTAGAACACAAGATAGGAAGAGTTACGAGTTGGGAATGACTCCCAGCTCCTACAAACCCCAAGAGCCGAGGTACAGTGATGTGGAACAGTGCCACACTGTCCCCAACCACGAAGGGTCTCGAAACTACCCTTCACTAGGGCCTACACCAAGTGAAATGTTACACTACACAAAGTAATGTAACTATCTTCAATATCTTGAGGTGTACCCTTTTGGCAAGCTTCGAAATCACTTGAGGCTTGACACCAAGGCTCGGGCTCTTCATCACAAACTCATCCTTGAGT